CACACACACGGCCCCAGGGGTCGGGGCTCCTGCTCCAGCTCAGAGCTCCGTGACATGCACAGCAGGGTGAGGGCAGTGGCCCAAGCCGGAGGCGCCTGAGGTGGCAGCGGCGGCACAGCAGGTGGCCCTCCAGCGGGTAGCAGCGGCGTCCATCCTCCCGCTCAGCTGAAGCCCGCAGTCCTAGGGAAGAACACAGCCCCACCCCAGGGTGAGTAGACAGGGGGGCCATACTGGCACCTCAGGGTAATGGGGTGAGGGGCAGATTGGCAGGGCTCTGTCAAACTTCCAGCGGACTCTGGCTTTTATTCTTAAGGTGGGGGATCAGGAGCCCAGTGTGGGACAAAGAACTGGGAGCCTCTTGAAGGAGGACACAGTGGAGTCTCAAGAGAGGGCTGGACAGTAAATGCGGGCTCGGGCATAAAAATGAGATTGATCTTCACAAAACAGATTACATCTCCCCAGGAGCACAGAAAACTAGAAAAGAGAAGAGGGCAAACAGCTTGAGCCACGAAGGCTCCAATATAGAGAAGAGCGAGCCCTGGCCGGTGTGGCTCAGTTGGTTGAGCATCTCCCATGCACCGAAAGGTCGCCAGTTCAATTCCAGGCAGGGTGCGTGCCCAGGTTGCAGGCTCAATCCCTAGTCAGGGCTGCATGCAGGAGGCAGCCGACTGATGTTCCTCTCACATAGATGTTTCTCTTTCTCCCTTCCTCTCTCTGTAAAATCTATTTATTGTTTTATTTTTAAAATATATTTTTATTGATTTCAGAGAGGAAGAGAGGGAGAGACAGAAACATCAATGATGAGAGAGAATCACTGATCGGCTGCCTCCTGCATGGCCCACACTGAGGATCAAGCCTGCAACCCGGGCATGTACCCTGACCACGAATGAAACCGTGACCTCCTAGTTCATAGGTTGACACTCTATCACTGAGCCATGCCAGCCGGGCTCTCTAAAATCAATTTAGAAAGAAATAAAAAGAAAAAGAGATTTGAGGGGAAAACAAAAGGGAAGAAAACCAAAAATGAATGAAATGGTCCTAAGGGCACTGTGACAAGTCAAGAAGGGACTAGTCAGCATGTAGAGAGCTGCTGAGAGGTCAGGGCAGTGACAACTGAGAAGTGTCTCCTGGATCCTAACACGGGGGGGGGGGGGGGGGCGCCACTGGTGATCTTGGGAAGGAGAGGTTATCAAATGCCTGGGCCAGTGGCCTTAAGAGAGAATGGAAGAGAAAAACTGGTGATATCAAGTAAACAAGTTCGGCTTTAAGTCCTTCATCTTACCATTTTATCTCTGTGCTGTACTTTATAGGCTAATTTTGTTTGTTTAACAAGTTATGTGATTGGTATGTGACCTCTGTAAAAAAATGGCAGGAAGTGTGAGGGGCAGCCATGGAGGCTGTCAGACAGTGGGACACCGGGCAAGACCAAGTGGACTTTTTCCTTCCTTTTGCCTCCTACCTCAAGGAGGCGCCTTTGGTCACTCTCTCACTGCATCCAGAGCTGAACTCCTGCCTCGAACATTTGACACTTGTTACCCAAAGGCCCTGAGACCAACACCTGCCCTGCCCCACAGAAGTAATGGAGCTAGAGGACTGCGATGGAGCCTCACGTTCCAAACCACGCATGTTTCAAGTGTCCTCCCTCCCCCCACCCGTCCTGACATAGCCCCCTGATGGGTCCTGCTATTGATTAACACACCAGAGAGGGGAGGAGAAAGGGGGCCTAGAGACCCTAGCTCCCATCTACAGGTCTCACAATCCTGAGGATCTGAGTGTGGACCACCCACAGCTTGGCTTGCTCCTTACCCTAGGGATTGTGCTTAGGGATCCCAAGGGACACCACCGTATCCAGGACCGCAGAGCAGAATGCCGTTACTGTTGAGGGGGATCCATGCCCCTCTTCTGACCATGATCCTCCTTCCCTGTTCCCCACTCAGGATTCCTGTTCCCACTGGACCACCTGCCCCCACCAGGGCAACCTGGTTCCAAATGGACCTTTAATGACTGAAGATTTCTCCCTCACACTCCCTCCTGCTCTTCCCGGGGCTCTGAAACCCAACTGCTCCTCCAGGTTTTCTCCTACCTCCTCATTCACTCACTCTTGGCCTCCCCATGTAGCTGCTTTGCCTTCATGCATCTCCCAAACATGGCTGCTCTTTGGGACATCACGAGCCCCGCTCCTTCCTGGAGCCCTCGGTTCCTCCCCTGGCTTCAGCAGCCATCTGTAGGCCCAGGATGGGGCTGTTGCTTCAGGCCATGATAGGGACAAGGACTGGACTCCCCATCCTACTTTTAATAATGAAAAGCCAGGCAAAATACATGCAAAATGGATTCTCAGACCCTAGGCCACAGGCAAGGCAGGTCGGTGATCTCCGAGAGAAGGGAACTACTCTCCAGGCTGCACAGAGAGCCCTCTAGTCCCCTTGGCTGAGGACTCCGAAGCCGAGGTGTCTGGTAACCACAGGGCAGAGCACCAGAGAGGAAAGGGCTGTATACGCCATGACTCCGATTCCTGTGCCTGTAGTCAGAGGCTTTGAACTCCAGCACATCTACCTGCTGCCTGCACATCTCTATCCAGGTGTCTCCAGCTGCCAAAAATAAGAGCATCTTATCCCCTCCCCCTCTCACCTTCCTGGGGTCCTAATGGACACCTCCCAACCCCCAAACTCCCACATCCAATCACTGACCAATTCCAGCCCTTTCTACTGCCTAACCATCACTCAGCTCAATTTACTTCCCTGAACCCAGGACCACCCCCCTGACTCCACCAGCCTCTTCAGAGAAGCCCAGCCCCTGTCCCTCTTCCTCCCTTCATTCTCTGCATGGTGCTGAGTGCCCTTTCTAAAACCCAAAAGCCATCCTGTAACTTTTTTTAAAAATGTCTTTATTGATTAAGTTATTACATATGTGCTGTCACCCTTTTTGATCATTCTCCATTGCCCAGGTAAGTCCACACTTCTTAGCTCACGTAGCCTTTTGTCCCCAGCTCCTGCCAACTTCTCTAGTGACACAAACACACCCATCTTCACACCTAAGCACATTCTGCTTCGACTGCCTGAAAATGCCTTCTCATTACATCCTTGGCTTATTCACCTTTCAAACCTTCCAGAAATCTTTCCCTCCAAGACCTCCTACCCACTACAAAAACTCCCCTTGTTAGCAATGATGACCTGTAGATACTGCCAGAATACCTGTCTCTCCCATGGGAGTA